AGAAAGAAGAAATGTTTCGGTTCCCCTTAGAAGGCAGCCTATAACTTAACACAGTGCTACCCTATGTTGTTAGTCTTGTTATATTGGTAACAATCAATATAACCATAACTTCACTTTTTGCATGCTGAGTAAAAAGTTTACCATCTGCACCGAGTGCTAAATTCATTACATGGTCATCTGGATTCATTACGCTGTCCCCATTGGCACTCTGCCGACTTTACACACACACACACACACACACACACCAAGGGAAGGGGGAGAGAGAGACTGCACTATAATTATCTATAATAATCCTTTGTCTTTTGTCACGCAGTTAATGCGTCATGGAGTGGGACTGTCTACCAGTTCTGATAGCGAACTCATCACTCAACTGTTGGCATTCACCCCACCTTTAGAGGAAGATGATACACCAGATTGGGTGGCCAGGTAAATCATGTGGCTCACGAGAGAAGAATTAAAATCAGTAAAACAGACCTCCATTTACGCGAGGTCAAACTCCCAGCCCACCCTTGTTGGAATTCTTGTAATGAGTGTATTAAACTAGCTTTTCTACTTTCAGGATTAAAAATTTGATGAATGAAACCCCCACTTCATATTCACTTCTGATGATGCATAAAGACATTATTTATGCGGTTCGTGATCCCTATGGCAACCGTCCTCTCTGTATCGGCCGCCTTGTTCCAGTAGGTGATATCAGTGGAAAAGGTATGGTTTCCCTATATGTAAATATATCCCTTTGAGAACTATAGTTGAAAGTATGTTCATTAAAAAAAAAAATACTACCTTTCTCAAATTCTTTTTTTTTTTTAAATCAGTGAACCATCTATCCTTTCACCTGAAAAATGTAATTGCTCCACTTTGTTTGCGGGAGGTCACCTATCTTAAAGTTTCTGACCTATTCTTCAGTAAACGTAACATACACTTGTGTGCTATATTAAATTAAATTGTAAAGTAAAACATATTCAGTGGATATGTTTATGATTAGTCTGTGACATCTGGAATATTTGAAAATAAATATTTTTGGCATTCCTGACCGAGAATAAGAACATATTCAAATGTATCAATGTACATTTTAATTTAAATGCTTTTTTAAATTTAATTTAAATATTTTTTAGAATTATTTGAACTTTTACGAATTAAATTTTGGAAAAGAATCTTTGGCATCTAGGCTAACTAATGTGACGTTAGGTTTTTTTTTCATACCTTTCACTGTATATTTGCTATAGACAGATACATTTTTCATACTGCTATCACAGCAAAGTGTAGATAATGTATTTTGTTAGTGAACAGGCATTTTGTTGTGTTTTGGAAAATCCAAGTGTAACTTATTACATCCTGCAAGTGTCTATTGCCTGTTTAAGTAGGCTACTCCACCTCTTCAGTTTTATTATAGAAAGCAGCAGTTGCAGCCACAGCAAATGTTGTGTGTAAAGTTAAAGGGAAAGAAATAAGATTCTTAGAATTATTAAGACATTTCTTTAATTCTTGTTGAATTTATTACAGGGAAAAACAATGCTGAAACTGAAGGCTGGGTAGTTTCTTCAGAATCCTGCAGCTTTTTATCTATTGGTGCAGAGTAAGTTCATAATTCATTTATTTAAAAGCAATTAAAAGCAGATTACTAATTTCTTCATTGTTTAAGCAAGAACTGGGCACTGCATCTACCATATTGGAGTACAGCAGTATTTAGTTTTAAAGCAATAAAGTCAATATTGCACTGAATCATTTTGCAATGTTGGGATTAGGGCACTTCTTAAAACATAGATGTCAAACTCGCCATGTCACATTCATATCACGTGACGTATTGCAAGAGTTTTTGCCTTCGCTTAGCTGGGGTAGACGTAAACTGTGAATGACGCTTTTGGCCCACGGGTCCCCAGTTTGTCACTCCTGTCTTAAAAGATAAATAATGAAATAATTCATCATAATCTAATAATTCACCTGGTTAAGAATGGAGAAATCCAAATGAAATACAATAGAAGGGGAAATATATAAGGTGAGCGGTATCGATTGATAATTGCTATTAGAAAGAACAGGAAGCTCCTGTTCGTATTGTATTGTGTAAATGTGGTGTACGCCTAGGTTTTGTGTGTGTGTATTTTACATGTTTGTTAATAAAAAATAAAAAAGAAATAAAAAAAGAAATAATTCATC